ACTATAACTATAACATAATTAGCTGTCTAGGAAGTCGTAATTGTAGGCACGTACAATTACGAAACAGTAACGTTTTATCTATTAAAATAATTGTCGTTGTTCATTAATAACACCATTGATACGGGCTGTTGAACAAAACAATTCAACAATGTACAACATTGATACGGCGTTCGACAGTATACGATGAATGGCACGTGATTCGTATCCAACAATGTATCACAGGGCGCTTGTGTAGTAACGCATCCTCCCCTCCCACTCCGCAGTCCGTCTTTGTCCCGAAGACACCTGCGCGACCTCCAATTATCGGTGTAATTGGCTATTCAAAGTTGGTGCGATAGAGCGAGCGTAGCATCGTTAATTAATAGAATCAACGGAACATTGAAATTTTCGCTCCACCGCCCCGAAGCCGCCTAGGAGCAATTTAAAGCGATTTATGCGATAGTGAAAAGCCCCTCGTCGCCCGAATGGCTGGTTATGAACTGCAGGTCTTACGCTGGCCTTAAAGCGCTGAAACCACGCTCGGGGTCATTCTAATTGAGCGAAATGAACGCCGCAAGAAAAACGGCGCGGTTGGAAATTACAGCACTGCGAGCGGTAGAATGTATTCAATTAAACGTCTTTGCTTCCCATCATTGGCGGTGATTAAAATATGGAAGCGAAATAAAAAAGGATCGATTTTCCTAACTAACGACAGATGAAAAATAAGTATCTATTAGAGAGTAATACTATTTCTTTTGAATCGATCTATTGGCTTCGGCGTCGAGGGTTGTGGGTTCGATTCGCATACGGGACAAGTATTTGTGTGACCCACAAATAATTGTCCCGGATCAGGGTGAGAGCTATAGAGCTTTATCGACCAATTTGGCAATTTATTAGGTGGGTATATCTTAATAGTGTATGTTTAAATATGTGCGTATGTATTCCCGTGGGCTTGTTTTTCCCATTTAACAAATTTAACACCGATTCGCCCGCTCGGCGGCCAATCAGTCCGCTAATGCTGCATGAAATTCATCAATAATCGCTCGGACCCTCATAAATTTACGTTACAACTGATGTGTTACGTTATCCCGTGCAGCCGAACAATATGTTGTTATGATTGATCGGTCGACCCGTCAGGGCAAAGGTGTGCTGCTCACTCATGGCGATACATTATTAAATCAAACATTTCTTTCCCGCCATCCTTAGGCGTACATTCGCGTAAACAATGCCGTTTCTCCTTTGCCGTGTCTGTGTGTTCGTAGCTGGGTAACTGATTACAAGCTGGTTCCTTTGATGTATTCGATTTAACTTTGCGATTATACAAATGTTCGCGAGTTTTATATTGTTTTTTTTTTTTTTTTTTTTCAAAACTCATTAGTTTTTTCATTAATTGCCTAATGAGGCACATGTTGGTGTTGTAATTTGAGACATAATAATTTATTGAAATTTTACTCAAAAAAATACTGGCGATTAAAGAATATTAATATATTGGCAAATAAAAAAAAAACTTAAATCGTATTAAAACAGTTTGATATTTTTATCAACAATTCTAGTGACAGCGATTTGTTTTATAACATTGATTTGGCGCATATCAATGAAATTTATAAAAAAAAATAAAACAAAACCTCAGTTATTTTTTTTAAGCACAATAATAATATTAAACGAAACAAAGTTTAATAAAAGCTATATAAATTACAAAGAGTTTTTAAAAGTTCACAGTTATTTCATATGCGAACTCGTTTTATTTAAATACCATATACCATCATTAAAAAGCATAATATAATATACATATATGGTGTCAAAATATCGTTCACGTATATACTACTATAACACGCTTATCTTATGTACCTAAACCAACTCTCCAGTGGGATTCGCCTCGGACGTGAGTTTGAACACAAATTGTAGCTAGAAGTCGCGTGAGATACATTCGATACCAAAACATGTTTTGCTCTAAATTCTACCCAATTGTCGAATTTGATAACTAATCCTCGCGTATTTAGAATTAATGTGCAATCTTGTTTGTTTCATCGAAATTTTTAGAGCTAGAACTATCATTTTAAACTCTTACGAACCACAAATACTTTTAGACCAAACGTGACGAGTGATAATTCCATAAATGGAAAATTTATTGATACCCACATAATCGTCATCCAGTTCGAGTCCCATGCTGAACAAAGGCCTCTCACAGCCTAACACGAAGCTCGATCCTGAGCCCCTGCATCCATCGCCTTCTTACACATTTGCCCTGGTCTCTTCAGCTTACCAACCACCTAAGCAATGTCGGTTACCTTTTTTACTGTGGATATCTTCATTCATCCACTGAATTTATAAAAATTTCTTATTTAAAATCAGTTTAAACTTGTACCATGATAGAGCAACAACAACTTAGGTAGTTAAGTTTTCTCAGAGTGTTAAGTAAACTAGCTGGGTTTTAAGTAATTTTAAAGAATAGACGAGAACGTATGAAGCAGTACAACAACCTCATTGAAGACTTGTCCAGTGATTGAGCTTTTTTCGAGGCCACACACTTTTTTTCGAGGTCTTAATTCTTAATCAAAGCGAATAAAGTAAACAGCGAAATACTTAATTATTTTCCTTATTCTTTTTTGAACACTATTTGTGAAACATGCACAAAGTCGTGGTCACAAGTGTAATAGAACCGACCAGTTTCATTTATTTTTCCTTTGTTAGGTAGGCGGCGGTTACAACTCCCCTTCTGTTTTATAACGGACAAATCTATTTTCGAGTGTAATCTAATCTTTATCACATAAAGTGATTTAGTATATGTGATAAGATTGTTGTTACAATTTGGCACATTAAATTTGTTTTGAGTACATTTGTTGCAATTAAAGGCATTTAAGAGCGTACTTTTGTATTTATTAGTATTTAGTACACTATCAGGTCTATGGTGGCGGTATTTTTTCCATTCGGGACTTATGTCCACAAATTATTAATTTATTTTTAACTCTTGATTGTCATCCAATTCTTTTACAACATTACAATGTAAAGATCATTCAGGACATCATACAGAACATATATTTGGTACTACTCTATTCATTAGGTTCTATGCGTTTTAAATAGTAACGACGCTGCATTTTAATTAACATCATATATTAAGCGACTGACGTTTGTGTACAGCCAAGTCGTACAACGATAGGACTTGGTTGCACAGCGAAATGACTTGACTCTACGATCATCTGGGGACGACGATAATTATTAATTATGGTGCGGCCCCAAACGTGGCCGAAAATCGGAACAGAGTCGTTATTACTTCGTTGTCGGCAAAATTGTCGGCATAAATCGCGTTTACGGGCGTCCAAAGGAGTCGGCGGTCGTTCGCTGCGTAATTACTTCATTTGCCCACTGTGCGTCGCGAGCGTTCATGTTAACGCTTAATGAGGAGCGTTGCGGCCCCAGTACGGATCCGACACGATACTGCCACGAATAAGGATGAGCTGACCATCGCAGCTAGTTTAACTCTGACCTCTTTCGCAGAGGTTTGCAGAGACGCGTGGTAGAGCCGCACATCAGTCTTCGCTGTTGCACGAATATGCAGGTCTGTCCTGAAAACCAGGACCTCACAGCGTTTCGTCTAATGATTGAGGAAGTCAGTGACCACTTTATTATATTGTGGCAACGCATCTGCGCTCTTCAACCCTACAGTTGTGGTAAATGTAAATGGGTGGCGGCTATCACTCAGGATCAGGTGAACCGCTAGCTCACTTGCCACCTTTTCACATTTAAAAGTTTCTAGAGTGCTCATGTAGTGAATTATGAAGCATCTGAAATACCGTCACTTGTATGAGAACTTTTACCAACGCACACCCGCGGAGTTCTTTTCAATTCTTCAACATTAACTACCTGTTAGAGTCCACTGCTGAATATAGGCTGCAACAGACAACCATGAACCACGTTCCTGAGACACTTGCATCTTTCAATTTGGCGCAAATGTACCAACACTGGCGATAACGGGCTGGCCATTGCCACTTCAAGTAGTAACTTGTAAATAATTATCAAATACACAATGAAAATATACTGTTTATTATGTTTCGTCAAAATGTCAATGGTAAACGTGATGGTGTTTTTAGTTTTTCATTTTGATTCCAATTGATTGTTGATCTAAATAACCAACAATAAATAATAGCTAAAAAAACTAAAAAAGCCCGCTCTTATATCCGCTAAGATATCCGTTGTAAACAGTTTGTTATAAAAAGTAGAAAATAATTTCAATAAATTTAAATTAAGAATACTTAGTGTTATTAACATAAATTCTTTTATTGTGTACATAATAAAAGAAGTTTTATGTTAATTACGCTTTTCTAAGCGTGGGGTGCGTTTTAAGATATTTTCGTACTGAATCTACTTTAACCAATATTTGTCATTAAAATATTATTAGTAATAGAAACGATAATTGATTTTTTAAAAAGAACTTAGTGGCTAGTAAGCCAAACTACGTAGAGTTTAGTTACAGTTCTAAGTACCTACTCGATCGTTATTAATTCGGGTAGAGGTTCCGCACTTTACAATGGTTCACGGGAAAGTCCCCCGAACATGGCGAGCGCTGTTACTTATACAGACCGTTGTGGTGTGCTTCTACCCTCCAATCTTCAAACAATATAATAAATTGACTCCAAGCACCCCACGCTTTTCTACAATAAAATAGTTTTTTTTGTTAATCACATCAACACAGTATTATCTACTAATACATATTTTGTATTATGCGATGTCTAAAATTATAATTTGCTACGCATATTACAAAACTAAGTTTACTCTACGTCACTTCTTAAAACTATGATAACGTTATATGCGAATCAATTCCTCACGCGATTCATGATTGCGTATAGGGCGGCGACACTACGTACGAACAGTCCGAGTGAGCACCCGCCGTTAAGCCAACTCTGCTGTGAAATTATCTCAATTTAGCCGGTCATTAGCGGAGTCGCGCCGGAGAGATATCCGGCTGGCCGGGTATAAATCTGAATTTAATGACCGGCCGCCACCGGTCCTAATATTTTCGAACAATGTTCCGGGGCACGTACCGCACGCGCACGTGTGCCCCGTCCCTCGGGCGGACCGTTTGTTTCTCGGGGAAGCCCCGCGACTTCTTCTGCCGGAAATACGTAGGAAATCCTTTAATTAAGTTCCCCGTCTGTGATGTTTTATGCTGTGAAACAAAAGACCTGAAAATTATTCCGGTGCGCTCGAATACCAGTTTAATCTTTAATTTTGCGACGATAAAATGAAAAGCTCTTTGATAGTTGAACTAAGAAAAATGTTACATATTTTGTAAGTACATGGTTTCAAATTAGGAGGAAATATTTCATCTTTCTTTTATTATAATAGCAGACGCGCGGTTATATCGTTAAAGGGTATATGAATTGATATATCTAAGATTTTTAAAATTTGGTCAACTATATATACAGGCTTTTTTTAAGCCGCATCACTCTTTATATTCAAATCTTTATTATTATTTCAGCTTTATATATATATATATATATATTTTAATATTAGCTTTATGTACTTATTTTGAATGAAAAAATACAATAAACTTTATCATAACTGTGTTTTCCTATAACTTTAACTTTAAAAGGAGCATTAATACTTTATAGGACATTATTAAAAAAAAAACGGAAAAAAATTGAATGTGCAACAAATAAAGCATCAGATTTGACCTTTATAAAATCGTTTTCTTGCTCTATTTTCCCAACTACATACTCTACGCCGCCTTCGTTGTTCGATGTATTTTTAGAGCGATCGTGCACCTTGCTCTACATACTGTCACGAATCGTAACTGAATTAACTTGTTCTCTGGGCTGCGCGAGAATAAAACTCCTGCCTTAGGAATATTTTATTAGCAACCTCTCCGGTTCAATTTTCCTTTGTTGTTTGAAAGAGAACGACTTGCGTAATGTAATTATGATGAATTTGATAACTTTCATAGGAATTGTTTTCGTTATTTTTACGCGAATACAACATATTATCAGTTCAAATTGTTTTAAAGGGAATATCACTTTTAATTAATTTTAAAGTCCTAACGGTTCGAACAATTTACAGCATTTATAGCCATTGCTTATTAAACGCCTGTTTATGAATAGCTTGAATATTTTGGATTGGATTTATTTATCTTAACAGGCGCCTCACATTAATTTAATTTTAGATTCTTATAGTGTTTCATAAAGAAAATAAAATTACTTTATATCACTATATAGCAAGTATATGGCGGAAAATACATCACATAGAAGATTATAGGTACCTATATAATTTATATGACACTGAAATAAATTTTACAAAGGAAATGAAAATACTGTTTCGAAAATGTAAAAAGGGGTTTCAGCAATGGGATCATTTTTCTTTTATTGCGGAATAAAAACGTGGCAGGGAAAATTTGTATCGTTGCCGTTCGGGTCTATTTGTAACGATTACTCTAGTCACAGCGGCTTATAACCAGGAAAATCCTGATAACTGGATCAGCATCTCTTTAATGAATATAAAAGTTTATTGGAACCGGCACAGTTGTCGTCCTGGTTATGTTATGGATAAATAAATATTTATATAAAAATGTTATCAACAACTTATACGAATAACATAATAGGTTGGGGAAAAAGTTTCTTTGCATTTTATATTAAAATTCAAAACATTTTTTAATGAAGTTTATCTACAAATGTAGAACTAAAGTATGTAGGTGCCATTTTGTTCGATAACTTTCTGCCATCTTGTAGGTAGGGACGTAATCCCATTGCTATAGAAATTCTGGGGCTTCTGATCAAAAAACCGCGACAAGTGGTTTTGGCAGTCCTCTCGTGATGTTAACCTGACAATGCCTAAAGAATTCTGAAGAGACCGAGAAAAGTGGAATCTGAAGGTGCAAGGTCTACACGGTGCAAGGACTATGCGGTGGATGCATTAACACCTCCCAGCCCTAGCGTTATCATGATGAGAAACCACACCCCTTCTGTTGATTAATTCCGGCCGCTTTCTCTCAACTTCTTGCTTTAATCTCATCAGTTGTTCGCAGTAGAGTTCAGAATCGATGGTCCTGCCTGGCGGTAACAGCTCATAATGAATAATGCCCTTCCAATCCCACCATACACACAGCATTACCTTGTTGCGAGATAACCCGGGTTTCGCCAGAGTCTGTGAAGCCTGACCAGCCATTGACCACGACCTTTTTCGCACGTTCTTTTCGTACATGATCCACTTTTCATCACTAGTTATCATGTTTTTCCAAAATGGTTCGGTTTCATTACGTCGTAATAAAGAATCACAAATGAGTACATAAGGTTTCTTTCAGTGAGCTCATGACGCACCCAAATATGGAGCTTTTTTGTGTACCCAGCTTTATTCAAATGCGCTAAAACTATTTTGTGGTCAATTCCCAGTTCTTCAGCTACAACGTTATTATTGATACGCCGATCTTGCGCCAATTTTTCAAAAATGGCATCCATTTTATTCGTAACAGAGCGCCCAAAGCGAGGTGCATCTTTGACACCAAATTTCCGAATTGCAAACGCTTAAAAAAATTTTGTCCTACTTTCACAAACACTGCATTAGGTCCATAAATATTACACAATTTTTTCGAGGCATGAATTGCATTTTTACCTTTTAGTCGTAAAGTTTAAAATGTATCGAATTTCTTTATTAAAATCTCATCAAGTAACAGTAAGAAAAGCAAATGAAAATCACACATTTTCCGAATTTGAATTTGGAATTATCTTTTTAAAAAGTTTAACTTTTTAATGATACCAAAACCAGCCAGATACATAATATGGTATAGCCATAGAGATTATAAGTACATACATACTATTTCCGAAAAGAGTTTTTCCCCAACCTAATATTTATCTCTCTATTTTTAAATATGTTTTCGAGTATAATAACGTCTAGGGAAAACTATGATTTCATTTCCAATTTTCTTAATTATTTATTTATTAGGTATGTCAGTAGTCTTTACATTAAAAACAAAATATTATATGAAACATAAATTAATGTTACAGCACAATGTGCATGTAATGAAGAGGCAAACACAACATGCAAACTTTAACTTAAGCTTTGATTTTAGTCAATTCGGCTGCAGATTTTTTTGTTAGGTATTCTTTAGATAGCCCTAATAAAAATGTAGAGTCTATCAAAGGACGAGTATAAAGTGACTTTTGATGAAATGAATGATGATGTAAATATACCCGAAATTTGTTTACAACGTACACCTCTCGTCCGAAGATTAACACCACAATTATATTACAAACAGCTTTTTCACTAGCTGTATATTTCTTCATTCTCTACGATACGTGTATGCTAATGTAGAGCTTTGTTAAGTTTTACATAAATCCTGTTAGTTAAGCAGTGCCAATAAGTTGAGAAGTGGTGCGGTGGAGTAAGCGTGTGTAGCTTGTTTTTGTGTTACAGGGGGCGAGGGAAGGCGGCGCGTATAGGCGGACTCAGGTAGAGTTTGTTGTGCGTGCCGTAGGCTGTTTTGTATTCACTGTCTGTCAAATAGCGCGCGAAGTGAGAGCGTTCCACGTCGAATCTACTGGAGTGAGCCTTGCATTAACTTAAATAGCAAAGTTTTCAATTTCATTAAAAATTGTTTCAAATGGAAATAAGCCTGAAAATAAATGGAAAGTAATTCGCAATCGTCCAATCGTCCCGACAGATGTGCGCGTAATTTTTTGCTTAAAAAAACTCAAACCAAAAATAGACGTAAAAGAGCATGTTCAACTTGTAATTACTTAGCTGTTGATTTGGTATTATACACTCTGAGAGCACACCTCAAAATAAATAGAATTGTGATATACTAACTGATCTACTTAATTTATTTTTATATTTTTATTTTTTTATTTATTTTACATAATTTCTTATCTATTTTTATATTATCAATAGATAATTAAGGAAAGGATTCTTGTAGCTCTAGAACAAAAAATCTTTACAGTTTTTTTAATGACCACCTTTCTTAATTATGAAAATGGAGAGAGGCGGTTCAATTTGCAAGCATTAATGATATTAATTACGCTGTCGTATCTTTTTTTTAATAAAAATATTAATCGTGTGGCAATTTTTCCAAACGTTCTTCTCTTTAAGCTATAATCCGTAACAATTTATCAAATTTAAATCCATTCGATAATCCTGGTAATATTTATGTTGCTCTAACAAGTAACGGAAATCATTGACACGGTGATAACAAGGTTTTAGTATTTTAATCCAGTCACTTTGTTGAACCTGAATGTATTTGAATATACCAAGGCACACTCCTGTCGTGTCAAGGTGGATTCGACATCGAACGAATATATTGTATGCTCACTATGCACTTAGTAATCGTCGTGCTGTAAGACATTTTATTTTCGTATCATTGTCGAGAATTAATTAGTGTGGATTTATGTTATTTTGTCGTTGATTTTAAACTAAATTTTTGATTTTTTTGTATAGAGCCTACTGCAGAAATACGCGCCAAGTTGACCCTCTTTGATAAGTTTACATTTGTAAAGTTTATTGATACCTACCTGTCAAAAACTTTGCTCGTGCAGAAGTCGCCCAAATAAGAGCATTGAAGGCCCGAACTAATTGAATACCCCTTGAGGGCTCCGTAGAATGTTTTCAAGTGCCCAGTGTCCTTTGTGTGCGTTTAAATTCATCTCAGTTTTTTTTTGTTCTGTTCACTCCCCTACGGAACCCTCTGCGTTTGAAGCATCACCATTTAGTGTATTGTGCTAATTATGTGTTGGTCTGGGTTTGAATTTTGTTCGTTGTTTCATTTTGACTAAAACTGTGTGTAATATGTGTTTCATAGAGGCTGTGGTTGTTTTGTTGTGAAGTCACCGGTGGGTGATGACGGTGGCGCGTGCGGGGTCGCGTGCCGGGCGGCGGCTCTGCTTCGTACCTTAGTAGCTACGGGGCGTTCGTACAGTGCTTTCATTACGGTTTATCTAACGTAACCTGTTAAAAACCAATTATGAATCTTTATACACGAACACACGCTACGTGGGACTATTGATTCAGAATTTTTCTCGCGTGATTTTAGTAGACATGATGAATGGCACAGACGGACAGTATTTCAAAGCGCTAAAAATTAATGAAGTGACTGTATTTACATATTTAAACTACCAGTAATCTCTTTGATTACTAAACCGCGTGTTCATTTCTTAAAGAACGTTTCTTTAAAACAACATAATAAAATATGTTTTAAATAAATCTAAATAATTTTACAAAACACGTCTCTGCGAACTTTTACTCGCTTGTGTTATCATTTCTTTGATATTCTAGTTTCAAACTTATCATAACATCTGACAATATTTCAATTCTTTATCACCTACAATGCCAACTTTGTTCAGTACCTGGCGCGTGTAACAGTACAAAGGGAATTTGAATCCGTCCAATCATTACACGTTCTCGGAATATTTTACTGTGCAAGTATCTTACATAACACACACGCAGCCATCAAATAGAGATACTATTGAATGAATTAACAGGTGAACTACCATTTAATACCGACCGTCCTACGTACATAATACAGTTGCTAATGGAACGCTGTCACTCGCACTCGCCCGGTCATCTGCGAAACCGCACAACTCAACTTTTCTCGAGTTTTCCGTATTTTTTTTTTCGTATTTTTTTTTTATTCTTGTTAGGAGGGGGGTTCGCAATTGGCACGGAACTCTATTTCAAGTCCGCCGCTCCACGCACCACCGCTAGGCTTATTGTGGTTCCGCGCTGCCAGCGATTTCCTAATGATACTGACCGCGCTCTCCCCGCCACAGATCGGAAGCTGTTCGTTGGAATGCTCAGCAAGCAACAGACGGAGGAGGATGTGCGCCAGCTGTTCACACCGTTCGGCACAATAGAGGAGTGCTCCATTCTGCGCGGGCCGGACGGCGCAAGCAAAGGTACGTAACGAGTTTTTAGCATTTCCTTGGTCTGAAAAAAGAATTCAAAACACTTTAAGCTTTATTGGTCCAACTATCCGTGGCGGTTTACAGGTTTACAGATATTTGAGTGATGTCATTTCAGGCTTTGCATAAAAAACAAATAGTACGCTGAGTATTCTGCCTGTCTTTCTCCGTTTAAGCATAACGTGGCAGTTCAAAGCATACATATAGGTGTTAAATAGATGATTGTTACTTAATTTGTTTACGATATCAATAACTTTTTTAACTACCTTTTAATGTACTCTATCCTTTTAGGTTTGAGATACATAAGCAGCATTCTCTTATCAGCACGCTTCATGTATAGAGATGAAGAATCACGTTAAATAAAAATTTATTACATTAGCTTAAACACAAATATCGTGGACGTCGTAATAAATAGCCTTAAAACCTTATCTGGATTATTTTCAAATTGATTTTGGTGTTTAATATGTTCGTTTTTCCAAGACTGTTTTCTTCACTACTAAATTCTTGCAAAATACCATTAAATATATGAACACAGTAATTGGAATTTATATTTAAACTTGAAATTTTAGTACTTTTATATTAGTCTATCTCAACTAATCCCGATCGGATTAGAAGACATAAGTTTATGACAGATATTGTCGATATCCGAAACAATGAGTTTCGCTCATTTTATCATCTCAATGTCAACTTATTACCAAGTACCATCTACCAATTGGTCTTATTAATAATTAAAATATTATCAAGTTTCATCTACCTCTTAAGTATTTTCAACACATCACTAAATATGCGAAGTATTTATACAGATGAGTAGTATTTATTTGGCCTTCAGTAATTGCTCTTGAACAAGTTACTAAATAAAACAAAAGGCACACTGGGTAGTATTATTTTCAACTTCAGGTTTTTAACTCCATGTATCTTTTAAAATAATTTTTTCTTTTTAACAAAACAAAATTTTGAACAAGCGGTTCAGTTGACTAAACTTGATAACTACAGAATATCCATTAACATGTCTAAAAGTCTCTTCGCACAAGCCGCTACACTGACAGACAAAAATATATTTCTTTAAATAAAATTAAAATCACCCCGGGCACTAGCTGCTTTAGATTTTTTTATTATTTATTAAAACGACAGGGCTACCAGATTGTCTTAACTGCGTTAATTCACTTTAAATAAATAATATAGAAGTCGTCATTCTTAATTATATATCAAGCAATTTCCAATCTCGATATTGTAAAATCGTGCTCGGTCGGAATTACGATCCTCTCGTGTAGAATCTGTTACGATACATAGGCTTTCCTTCACGCTAGTAACATTTTGCGCGCTGTCTCGACACGTCATATTCATGAGACGCACCAAAGCGCCTCGGTGTGACGCAACTTTAATCTCATACCATTCCCAAGCCGAATTCACCGGCTTTTAATTGAGTTTAGCCCGTAAACTCGGCGACAGCGTCGCGCGGTTTGTTGGCCGCATAAGCGGAGCTGTCTTTAGGCACGCATTAAGCTTTTTACGCCTTAAACGGCTGCCGATTTCCGGCGTTGTACGGCGATAAAGTTATTAAGTGCAGATGTACCGAACGGCGCGGCAAATTGTTAATTCGCTTTAATTACGAGCGGCGCCGTGGCGGGGGATAATTCCGCTTTTTATGGGACCCCTCGCGTAATGGCCGACGACGTTGTCATGAACAATTTCGTGAGGTTTTCAGTTTCGCCGTTCCGCGTTTTATGTTCAAGATAGCAAATAAAAAAAATCCTTCAGGTACCGTTTAAATATATATATCAACGACCTTTTGTTTACGGGAAATACGGGAAAAAAAATATTAACTGTATTATGGCCACGCAACAGTCTTTGTTGCACTTGTATTCAGTTGTGCATTTTTCTTCAAAACTTTATTGGAATTGACTTAGTATATATCTCGCAGATTCATTGAGTAAAACGGCATCAATATAAGTTGAAAAATAAAATTATGCTACACGCAAATTGATTTTTGCAACGCATTTCTCAGGATTTAATACATGTATTTTATACATCAACTATTTTGTGTGTTTTGATATTATAGTTTTGTACCGGTTTTTATTTAGAATCTGTTTCCATCTTTTGTTTGCTTACTGTAGAAAAGTATATAGTTAGCAGAAAATTAAATTGGCACAAGCCTAGTTCTAAAAATATCAACCTGTAACACTACTACCTGTGATTCATTTAATATTTTGTCATGATCCTAGTTCTCTATGGATTGGGAACAAAGTAATAAACGAACGTTTTATTCACTGTAAAATTAACGTGCATTTTATCGCAGGCGGTAATTAAATGCTCTCAGATGAAACCGCGGATGGATTAACGATTAAAAGTAGGGGTGCGCCCTCGCAAATGACTCTCGTCGCTTGTCGTCCATCTCGTCACCACTGACGCCCAACTCGTCGCGAAAAGGGGCGCGAACCACGGCGATAACCGTCGTAAAAGCGGCACAATACCGCTTTCTTTACGGCACCGACGACGGCACGACCGTAAAATGACTATGTTACGGCCACGCATCAGTCTTCGCTATTGCACGGCTGGGTAGGTCCAACCGGTGACGTACCACGACCTCACAGAAGACCCAAGACTTTTATTAAAAGGTGGCAACGCAATCAAACCTACGGGCGTTGCAAATGCCAATGTCAATGCGGTATTATCGCTAAACATCAAGCGAACTGCCAAATCACTTGCCACCTACGCACATAAAAAATCAAATATCGCGTATTCAGTTCACATTCAGCGGCGGCTCACGAGGTCGGCCGCCAGTGACTTATTGTCTGCGGTCGGAGAGTGGCAGTCCCCTAACCGACGCCCTTCCCACAAGCGACGAACGATACACGACGCGTGTTTAATAGAATGGAAACGTCCGACGTCACATCTTTATAAGAGTTCGTGACGGCACCAACTCAGTAGGGCGTTTTCTCCGTCGTTGAATCCTAAATCGACCAATGATTATAATCATCAGGATCGAACCCAGAACACGATGCATAGCGCATCCTCTTAAGGCGAGGTGACCACTTAAAACATTGCAGCCTATATTATGTAGCCTGCTTGGTACATACATAAATAATTAGCACAGGCTAGTAAATAACGTATAATTGAAAAATGCGACTTTAAGTTTAGATACGTATAAGTCGCTTATATATAAACACAGGCTGTTGTGTAGCATTTTATGTCCACAGCATCAAGACTGTGGCACATTGAAAACTACGATTCCGAACCTGAAGTTATCATGTGACCGATGAGTTTGACATGAAGGGAGAGAGCCACCCATCAGTGGCGAAAATAATGTTGTTAACTAAGATTCCTTGAAATAGTCGCCTGTTGTTAAGCGATGAGGTTAAATAATATTTAATGGTGTTAGATGAAAACTTCTTAAATAGCAGACTAATTAATTATAATATATAATAATATCACGAATAAGCCTACAAAAATAGTAAGACTTATGAGTATTTTTAAGAGTTATACTACATTTATGCTAAATTGCATCCATGCTTTCACCCACATGCACAGTTTCAATTTAAGTACCTTTTACGATGTAAGTACTTTCCTTTATGTTAATCCAGCTTTCAAGCTATCTTACTTCCAAAATTGATTCTGATCCAGTCCACATGATGAACAATAATGCCTCCACAAAAATATAAGTGTATATATTTCTATATACTAATAACTGGAGAACTGGTTTTATCGTTCGGTTATACTGCAAAAACTACTGAAATGATCTGAATAATACTTATATAATAAGATGCAGCGTGTTTCGGAGATGGTTTTAGTGTTTAAATTTTATTTATATCATGCAAATTAGACGAGATATCACAATTTTCGCGGTTCGAGGTTCTAGTATGCTATAAATCATTTCAAGTACCGTTTTCTTTCTCCAGCCAGCCTCAGAGTAGCGATCACAGAATATACGTACATAAGGCGCATAAGCTTAGGTAGATTGGATGGGTAGATTGGTTTAATAAAATGTCTCCTTATAAAATTTCCATAAGGGATTATTTGGTTCTTCTTTACAAAGTAGAGCTTTTTACACCGTAAAAAAATTACAGACACGAACGGTTTTTGTGTAAAATCGAAATCGGGGCTCTTTATAAACTGAGATCCAATGTAATCGCATAATACAGACCCCTACTAGGCCCTTTCGCTTTGCAAAATTTCGCCTAACACTCTTAAAGCTTATATAATCCCATTGTTGATGTGAAACAAGTAAAATTGGGTTTATACACTTCCTACGCTTCAAGCTGCAAAATTCTAAATGGTTGTGATGTTTGATCGATTGTCTTAAAATAAAAACTGTACATTTACGAATTACACACTAAAATGGATTAGATACTAATAGATATATTATATTAAAAAATAAATGAAATTACCCCATTGCTAATTTTAATTACAAAAATCTCTTCTTAATATATTTTTTTATATTCGTTCATACACTGAGTTTTATTGTGCTAACTTTCATGCAAAATATGATTTATCTGTTTAAATAACTTTTACTTGACATATCTTCGAAATAATTTTTTGTTATTATTTCGAAAATGTGCAGGTTTCCTCACTCGGTGATAAGTCAGCACTTAAAACTAAAAATTTCTTTGGTGCCTTTTCATTCCGTTCATTTAATAAACTCTCGCAACTCATGTTGCTCGAGTATATTAAATTAAAGGCGAGCGCCCGCTCACTGAGCTATCATGGCTCCGTGTATATTTATATAATATAATATGTATATAAATTAAACTTACAACAAGCACTAGCAAATGTTTTTATACCTCTGTAGTCTTCAATTAACGAAGCTATTTAAAATTTAAAGTTTCATGGAGACATTTTTCACACTTAATATAACATGCCACGCTGACCAACCATGATAAGTTCGAGACTCGTATCGGATTTAATATCAGTTCGCTACGAAACAAACGAGGCGTGAATTTCGCCAAAATTCACGGACAAAATAGACCCATACGTGCGCCGATGGAAAAAATCCGTGATACGA